CCCAAATTGGATCACTAGGCCCCCAGCTTCAGCCATTTACAACTCTTACTGTTCTTCTAATGCTCTATAAAAACCTCTTTACCAATCCACTTGTTCCAATTAACCCGAAGATTTACTAGTACTGGTCCTGTTTGGGTGCCCCCATAATCCCAGAATGGTCAGGGTTGGAAGGGACCACTGGAGATCTAGTCCAGCCCTCCCGCCAGAGCAGGGTCACCTACAGCAGGTTGCGCAGGATGGTGTCCAGGCGGGTTTTGAATGTCTCCAGAGTGGGAGCCCCCCCCACCTCTCTGGGCAGCCTGTGCCAGTGCTCTGCCACCCTCAAAGTAAAGAAGTTCCTCCTCATGTTTAGATGGAACTTCAAGTTTGTGCCTGTTACCTCTTGTCCTATCACTGGGCACCACTGAAAAAAGACTGTTCCCATCCTCCTGACACCCTCCCTTTAAATATTTATAAGCATTGTTAAGATCCTCTCTCAGTCTTCTTCTCTTCAGACTAAAAAGACCCAAGTCCCTCAGCCTCTCCTCACAGGAAAGATGTTTCAGTCCCCTAATCAATCTCACAGCCCTTTGCCGGACCGTCTCCAGCAGTTCCCCATCCTTCTTGAACTGGGGAGCCCAGAACTGGACACAGCACTCCAGATGCGGCCTCACCAGGGGAGAATAGAGTGGGAGGATAACCTCCCTCGACCTGCTTGCTACGCTTTTCTTGATGCACCCCAGGATGCCATTGGCCTTCTTGGCCACAAGGGCACATCACTTGTAATACTCTAGAAGTTTGGTTACAAACTAAACACTATGGGCACATTACCAAAGGATCGGTCTCCCATTACATAAGTATTATATACATTTAATTTCAGGAATGCTCACAACTCAGCCAGATCCTGCTGGCTCCAAAACTGTTAAGGGATGTTAGAAGTGGTCACCACCTCCAGCAGTCCCAGCCTGGGATCCCCCTGCCCGGCTGCTGGAACCCAGCCCAGTGCCCAGTATCCCTGCTTGGGCTGGGAGAGGTGGCTACCGCTCACTTGTTTGCAGGTTGGCCCGGTAGTGAAACTGAGCACAAATCCCTGAGACACACAGACACAGCACGCACACGCAGAGGACACTGACATGTCTGGTCACACAGGCTGCCATGGAGAAGGTGCTGCCCTCAACAGCACCCACACGCAGGACCCACGTAAGACATAAACACAGGCAGCCAAGTTGCCTCCTCTTCTCTGGCTGGTAGAGGTAGCAAGTTCATCGGTGAAATCACCTGCCCCCCCCTCTAGGTTCACAACCACACACACGTTCACGGATGCCTCGAGTATGGGCACAGCCCTCCTGCCCGCCCAGTACCTCTGCCCACACCCCAGCCCTCGCACCCGCTTCATGGGTCCTTTACTCACTGGCCAGCACAGCTGCATGGACCAAACGAGAGCACTCAGACACTCGTCCCTTGGGCACTCCATGTTCTGGTCATACTCCAGTGTACACTTGCCAGATGTCACCCTTTCAGGCAGAAGGCAAGCCATGCTCTGTTTCAGCCACCACCAAGTGTTTTTCTAACTATCCTTTAAGATGCTCTACTTGATTTTTTTTTTTTTTAAAATTTTATTTCTTTTTTATTCCTGAGACCTAAACCATGACAGTCTCTCAAACTTCTGGCCTGGGATTTTGTTTTATTTTTGGTGGCCTCCTTGTACCAATCAAAAATACATCCCACTGAAATTCCGGTACCTTAGATCCTCGGGGCTCCAAGGCCCTCCTTAAGCTTAATCCCTTCAATGCAATCAACTGCTTTTTCACCCCCAAGGTAAGTATCCAGAACCAGAGGCTGAAGGGAAAGAAACAAGACACACGAGGGGTCCCTCCTCATCACAACGTCCGGCATGAGCCCACCCTGCTAGCGCAGGGTCACTAGCAGCAGTACCAAAGGAGGCTCAGGCTGGAACCAAAGACAGGGAAGGGTTAATGGGGTCTGTCACACCACCTGAGTCTTTAACTGCCGGGGTGGTTTCTGTTGCAGCTGAGCCAAGTTCCAAGAGTCTGTCCCTAAGTGGCACAGACCTCAATGCCCAGCTCCCAGGGAGCACCGTTCATACAGGTTCGTTCAGACTGTAATTCCAATCTAGACTTTTCCTGACCTACCTCTCTTCAGGACTTTATCAATTTTTGATCGTTATTCCCTCTTCTAGCCAGCTAAAGAGTGGGAACTCTTAGTGGGACTCTGGAGTGACCTGTATTAAAAGCTGGGATTCAGCAACTCTTACAGATGACCCTCGACCGAGGCCCCAGCAGAGACTTCAAACAGGTAAGAGGACCCAAGTCATATGTACCCGTTATGTGCACATGGCCACAGAACCGCTCAAGGCTGTTCTGGGTTCTGCTTTCTTCAGTGCAAGAACTACTTTATCATGAAGGCTTCACTGTGGTTATTGTTTCTGGAGACGGTACAAGTTTGGTCAAGAGGCCCACTCGGGCTGTACTTAGCATCTCTACTTCCACACTTCACAGCCCAAGAGGCCAAGGCAGAGGGCAGATACCCCCGGCTGCTGTCTTCTCTTGCAGTAGCCCGAGCCCAAGCACAGCACGACACGCGGCTCTTCTCCCATACTGAGTACAACGCGTGAAGAACCAGGATAAGCAACAAGCTGGGGAATAATTCAAAGCCTCTGGGTGTCCCTGTTCCATTCCTGTTAAAAGTCTGGTCTGCAAGGCTCAACGTTCAGTTTACCGTGAGGAGGACCTTCAAAAGGCAGTGTCACTTTTGTCTCTCTTGTCATGATGTCAGGTTAGTAGAAGTTGCCTGTATGTCGTGTGCTCTGGTCTCTGTCAACAAAGCCTGATCCAGAAAGTAAAAGGCAGCACTTCTCCTTCATAAAGTCAGTTACATCAGAGGTCATCATTAGCTCATCACATTTAGACTGATACCAGGAGTTTTACCTAAAACTGTTGTCAGGAATTTTAATTTCTTTTTAATATTAATAAATTATAAGGGGATAATCGTGCCTAAAGGTGAAGTTATGATAGGAAACATTTCCTCCCTTGCTATGTACACAGATGTTTTCTCTGTTTCTGACCTCACATTGGGAAGAAACATCCTCCTTCCTTCTTTCCTTAATGTGCCAGTATTTTCCTCATAGAATCGTAACATCATAGAATCGTCAACGTTGGAAGGCACCTTTAAGATCATCAAGTCCAGTCATGAACCTGACACTGACAAAACCGCTACTAAACTGTGTCCCTAAGCACCACATCTGCCTGTCTTTCAAATACCTCCAGGGATCACCACCATTTTGCTGAAGCCATGAGAACTGCAGGCTGAGCCTTGGTTTGGTAGGAACGGTGAAAGGTTAACAGCATTTGGAGGTCTTTAAAATAATTTTAGCTTCTAAAATTTTTAGTTTACAGCTTTTCTTCCTCATCCATTTCCCAGACAGAGCAGCAGATCATTCTGATAAACAAGCATCCTTGTAGCTGCTTTGATTTAATTTATTTATTTTTAATTGACCAAGCAAACATTTCCAACTGTCTTCAGTTAACCATTTGGCATAGTAAGAAGAACCAGCTCTTAACTCTACTCAGTCCCACTTTACACCATTTGAGGTCTGCCTCTGCTGAAACCGTCATGAAAGACACCCGTTCTGTCCTGATTGTGGTATAAGAAAGTACTTCTAATGAACTGTTTTCACATTAAGCTATGTGATAAACATTTTCAGTTAATATAGCAGTCTAAAGAAAAAAGGATTTGAGAGTAACAAGTAGTTGGAATATATTTAAGACTTCAACACAGAAAGTCTGCTGCCTTTTTAAAACCTGCTGATTCATCTACCCTCTAAGTGCTTTAGTACTACATCTTACACCCTTCTACGAATAAATGAAGACACCACAGAAACACGTCGAAATCTCTAAAGCCATGTAAAACCCGAAGGCATTAAAATTTATTAAATGATGCAATAACAACAGAATTCTTTATTTACAATAGCATTATTTAACATCAAATAAGCAAATAGCATCAGCAAAGCAATATTAACTTGCATAAATGTATTTAAAATTTCTCTGAATATATCTACCTTTGCATAAACTGCTCACACTAGAAATACAAACATCAATGCAGGTGAACAAAGTGATGTTCAGAGTCAACTCCGTTTTGAAAATAAATCACAACCTGAAACACTGTAAGCTTTCTCCTGAAGAACCATAGTTTATATATTGCTTAATTTTACCCTTGTATAATCTTTTCATATACACACATCTCAGATGCAACTTCATGATGAACTGTACAAATAAAACCCACAAATGACATAAAGGGAAAAAAATTAAATGACAGTAAATGTTTGAAGAAATGTGTCCATCATCTCTATTGAACAACATAAAGATTAAGTGATGATGCACTTATTCCAAAATTGTACACAATTCACTATACAAATATAATACATCAGACAGCTATGTAGGAATATACAAGACTTAAAAACAGATCTAAGGCATTATGCTAGATTTTAGCATTTTGAGGTTCTTGCACATAGCTTTTACCTGTAGTAAGAAACTTAAAAGATTTTGTTTTAGTCTACAAAGAAACACCAGGGAGAAAATTCTAATTAAAATCAAAGCCACTACAGTAAATTTTCTTTTGTGCAGAGAATGCTTTTGCTCTTAGGCAGCATACTACCATACAAATACTAGAAAACTTTTAAATTCACACCAACAATTAATGGCTTAAGTTGCATTTCAAAACTGATTGTGTATCTTTGGGTTCTGCAAGTGGAGCTGTGCCACCCATTTCATCTGTTAAGCCCATATGAATTCCGCTTTTAAACAAAGATTAAAAAATGTATTGTATAAACTGCAAAAACATTGCTTTTAATTAATACAGGCCCAAAGGGATACCAGTGTGGGACAATATTTTAAAGACTGAGTACAAATTAATTCATTGTAGCAAAACAGCTCACTTCACTTTTTAAACTTACCACATTACATGAACACTTAACCAGGTCGTACGACCATGTATATATGCTTATTTTTCACATTATGCGCCTTTCACATTTAGTAATGTAAGTAGAACACTGATTAATTGTTCTGTTCAACAAAATCCAAGTACTTTCTCTGACAAATTTACTGTATACAGGATGAAAAATACTGATAATGAAGGGAATTGATTTGGCTTTTTTTTTGTTTCTATAGTGATCAATATGATCAGAAGATTCCTTCACTCGCTTTTCTCTTTCATTAGTTAGAAGACGACTAAAGTCACGATAAACCCAAACGGAGCCAAAGTGATAGGTACAATCTCCTTTCTGTCAAAATGGCAATGGATGAAGTATCATAATCACTACAGATGATAAGGGTTTGCAGGTCTGTCGTGAAACGGGACAAATTTAAACTATTTTGTCCACTGTGAAAAAGAATAATCTATCTGCAGAGGTTACGGTTAATAATCGAAAAAGAACGGAATAGAAACAAAATCACTTTAAAACTCATTTACACTTTGTGGTGCAGGAAGTTAACTCCTTCAAATTTATGCATTTCTTATACAGATATATAATGCATCTTTTTTGTCAGATATATAATGCAAGTTTAACACAAACGGCATTGTAGCAACGAGGCTGTGGAGCTCAGGGCTGACAGCTATTTTTGGTTTCCCATCAGCAAGTAAGAGGATGGCTCAGCTGACTAAATATTCTGTTTGAGTTTGCTAACAGAACCGTGACAGCTGAAAAATGTTGTTCCTCCAGAATGGTGGCACTGCCCTCCTTCGGGACAAACGCAACTGTACATTTCCTGGGCTTTCATCCAAAGCCTTCTACAGAAACAGCCTATTCTGAACCACCTTTATCAGATTTTCCTCATCCTTAATATAGAATAGCTGCTACTTTATTTGAACTCCCACCTGAATACCAAAACAAATTAAATGGCAACAGAATCAACCTTTCACTCCCAAAAGGCGTGGCTGATGAGATATTATAAAATGCATTGCATTTTACATGACACCGAAAAATTTGCATTCAGGTTAAAAAGTTTGTGGATTGGGGGTCAGCGGAAAGAAAACAGAGGTCAGACCCATCAATTTCTTAATATTTCAAGTCCTCAGAAAATGATGTCAGTTTAGTAAAAGATTATTCCAACCACAGTGGGCAAGAAAAAAAACACACCCCCGAACAGTGGCCTGCTTAGTAACAGTTAGTTTTTCTAAGATTTGTTACGAAAGGATACAAACATACAAAAATCAAGAATTGGTTCCTACAGTGGCTGCATATAATATAGGTTAGTTAAATGACATTATGAGCAGAATCACAAGGTTTAGAAAATGAGAAGTCTCAAGCCTACAAATTAGGTCTAATCAAGGCATTGTGATCCTTTACAAAACACTTTTCCAGGAGACACACACGGCTAAGAAGATATCTAATTTAATACTGAAGTACCTCATTTGGAATCAACTTCACAACATGTATATCTCACAAAAATTATACAAGTAAAACACTTAAGTTTTCAACTTAAATTATTGCTTGTTTACATATAAACTGGATTTTATGTACCTTACAAAACATCCTCGTAGTCCACGCCGCTTTAAAATAATCAGAAACACACGATAGTGGTGAAGTCTGTAGTGATATCTGCTACAGGTATTACAGGAATTGGTATTTTCCCAGCTAGGGGGATGGGAACCAGAAATTATCATGCTTTAAAGCAGGTATCTCGAGCTCTTTGATATTATGCACCAATTCTGCCACTACCTTAATCAGTACATGCATTACCATCAAACTTTGCCGCTCAACACCCAGTAACTGGCCGTCCAGATTGCTGGAAACACACCTAGGGAAATAAAGGGGTAACCTGTTTTTTTATTCCATTAGAAAGAAGACGAAGATGACAGAGGTCAGGAGAGCCAGGTTAAAAAAAAAATAAATCAGGATTTGCTGATTGTTAGGAATTTAGTTAAATAAGAATGTAACCAACTTGTATTTTTGGATTCATGACTTGCATTATAAACATTACCACAAAACCCAACCGAAACGCCCCTTATAAACAACCCTCTCACAGGGTAATTTTCATCTGTTTTACAACTTTAACCCCATTCAAAATTGGTCTGTATAGTTTTCTGCATCGGTTCATCTTCTCTGACTCGTCAGCGGAACGCGCTTGTTGGAGGTCTCTATATGTACCAGACGTTGCTTCTCCACCCTCCTCCACACCTCCTCTCCGCCCCAAAATGCAGGCCTTAGTCTAAAACACCAGTTTTCAGACGGAACTGAATCCTTTGCACCAGACTGAATAAGCCAGGGAAAACAAAGCAAAAAAAAAAAAACAAAAGACAAACCCCAAGGTCTAGAACTAAACAGAAACAGAACAAGAGCATGGTTGTTTTTCCTTAAATACATACATTTAAATACATTCAATCTGACATGGTTTATGAAAGTTGCCTGTCAACATTTACTTTGCAGGAGAGATCTAAGTTGCACTAAGGTGAATGCAGTGAACAGACTGAGCAACTGTCTGTACGCTAGCTTCAGACTGTCAAAGAAGAGGCTGCTCTTCGGCAACGACCGCCCGGCTCCCCTCGGGAAGGCAGGGCTGAGTCCTGTCGGCAGCAGGCAGCCGCCGCCGCCGCCACTGGCGGGCCCGCTGGGGGACGACAAACAAAACCGGGC